CTATGAACGGTGTTGCCATGGTTACTAAAAATAGAATTTTCTTGAAATTCCTTTAAAACGCTACTCCTTCTTCAGTTTTGGTCTGATTTCAATATTACTTGGCACAGAAATAGACTACACTTAGATACATAAATAGTGCATCGGTTTTTGATTTCATGAACGGTGTTGCCATGGTTACTAAAAATAGAATTTTCTGTGAAATTCCTTTGAAACGCTACTCCTTCTACAGTTTTGGTCCGATTTCAATATAACTTGGCACACAAGTAGACTACACTAAGATACATAGAATAGTGCATCAGTTTATGATTTCGATGAACGGTGTAACCATGGTTACTAAAAATAGATTATTTGAAATTCCTATAAAACGCTATTCCTTCTACAGTTTTAGTTTGATTTCAAAATAAGTTGGCACACAAGTAGACTACACAAAGATACATAAAATAGTGGAATTGATTTTTGATAAGTACAAACCAGTAGAGCTACAGTCTCGACAGAGACTTCTGATTTCCATGACGAATTGATAATTTGGGCGAATTATAAATATCTTGCGGAAAAGTCGCACATTATTCGAATTTTATGTCCTTGTCAGTTTGATGGATAATAATTACGAACATTTATTGCTCCCGTTTTGGTGTTTTGTTGTCTTGTTTTCATGTAGATCTCTTAATTAATTATTAATTAATTGTCAGTCGACTCGATTTACTTTTCTTGTCAATCAGCCTGTACACCTTGTAAAAATGTATGTTGACTAGATTTTTTATTTGGCTTTTTGTTTCAGGCAAGATATTTTTGCGACAGAAGCTTTTTTAAATATGTCACTATTGCACGAAAAATATAAATTGTGCAGATATACAACGTAGAGAAATATTACTTTGTAAAATAATATTTTTGTCAAATATTTTTTTCTTATTTTTAAAGGGGTTTTATTCACTAAAATAAAATGCTATATATATTATTTATTTTTTAACATAATTGTATATTGACAGCCATTCTTCAAATGTAATTATCCTAAATACCTGATTTTTCAAAATGTTGAAAGTCATAAATGTTCAGACTAATTAAACTGAAAAAGATTTTTCAATTTGTTTTGTTAATTCATATAAAGATTGGACTTTTCTGTAAATTATACAATTAAAATCAATCGGGTTTCATAGCTATCCGAGATTTAAAACAATAACCGTTTTATTTGCTGACTCAGAATTTAAATATCAGACTGAGTTTGAAGTCAATTTAACTATAGAAACTTGGGATATTTAAGTTCAAAATCGGGAAAAAATTAATTATAACCTAAATAGCAAATATCAGGTAAATCTACATTTTATCTCGTATTTTTATTTTTTAGGCCAGATACGCCATAATGTATAGCTGTAAAATTTGGTCTTTTTCACAATTATCTATCTTGTTTCGGATCTACATCTTTCAGATACAAAAAGCTATCAAAAGCTGGTTTTTTTTATTTCGATTTTCTTGGATTTTTTTTATCTCGATTATACGACGGCGTATTCGTGCCATATTGACAATGTAGAAAAAAATTTTAAAATCGTTTGAACGATTTAAGAAAACGTTTGTACAATTTGTAAAATCGTTTGTACAATTTAATAAATCGTTTGTACAATTTGTTAAATCGTTTGTACGATTTTTAAAAATAGTTTGTACGATTTAGGAAATTGTACGATTTTTTTAAAATCGTTTGAACAATTTAGGAAACCGTTTGTTTATAAAGTTTATTTTTGATACTTCAGATTTAGATGAAATAATAGTTGGTCTGAAACAAATAGTAATTGAGATCGGGGTGTTAATAATCTTTAATGCATTGAATCCTGAATGTTATGTGTATGTGCTTTATTTGAAATGGAGACAGGTATTCAATATTCATACATGTTGTTTTCTTGTCAAAATATCGGCAAAAACAAATAGTTTAACCAAATATTGCAATATTATTTTATAATTATGTTTAATGATGCTGTATATACATAAATAAATAATCGAATTGTATTAAATTACACAATTTGTCTAACTTACTCTAAAGTACTGTATCGTACACTGTTTAGTAGTACCCAAAACGATTTTAAAAATCGTACAGATGATTTTAAAAATCGTACAAACGATTTCCTCAAGTGTTCAAACGATTTTTAAAAAATCGTACAAACAATTTCCTAAATCGTACAAACTATTTTGAAAATCGTACAAACGATTTCCTAAATTGTTCAAACGATTTAAAAATTCGTACAAACGATTTCCTAAATTGTTCAAACGATTTAAAAATTCGTACAAACAATTTACTAAATCGAACAAACTATTTTTAAAAATCGTACACACGATTTAACAAATTGTACAAACGATTTAACAAACAAATTGTACAAATGATTTAACAAATTGTTCAAACGATTTAACAAATTGTACAAACGATTTAACAAATTGTACAAACGATTTATTAAGTTATACAAACGATTTAACAAATTGTACAAACGATTTAACAAATTGTACAAACGATTTAACAAATTGTACAAACGTTTTAACAAATTGTACAAACGTTTTCTTAAATCGTACAAACGTTTTCTTAAATCGTTCAAACGATTTTATAAATCGTACAGACGATTTTAAATTTTTTTTCTACATTGTCAATATGGCACGAATACGCCGTCGTACGATTTTAATGACCTCTGGGTTTTTTTTCTTTCTTTTTATACGTTAGGCTAAATTAAACGTATAAACATGCAAATCACACAAAGGTAATGTAAATACATTTTATTATACCCCGCGCAACTAGTTGCGTGAGGTATAATGTTTTTGACCCGTCCGTCAGAGTGTCAGTCAGTCGACAGTCCGTTCGTCCTGTCTTTTTGTCAGCTCAACTCCTCATAAACTGCTGCACAGAATTTCGTCAAACTTTGCAGGTATTTAGGACACAATGTGTAGATGTGCATATTACCAGAAAATTCCGATTCCTTTATTTTTTCCGGGAATTTCCGCACTTTTTAACTTAGGCATTTGGCCATACCTTGAATGTAGAGATGAACAGTTTGTCAGCGCAACTCCTCATAAACCGCTGCACAGAATTTCGTTAAACTTTGGAATATTTAGGACACAATATGTAAATGTGCATATGAACAGGAAATTCCGATTCCTTTAATTTTTCCGGGAATTTTTGCACTAAAAACGTAGGTTTTTGGCCATAACTTTTATATAGAGATGAACAGTTTGTCAGCGCAACTCATCATAAACCGCTGCACAGATTTTCGTCAAACTTTGCAGAGATATTGTATATTAGGAATTTCCACACTTTTCACATGTGTAACATCAGCGCAACTCATCATAAACCGCTGCACAGATTTTCGTGCATATTACACAGTGTGTAAATTCCGATTCCTTTATTTTTCTGGGAATTTTGGCACTTTTCAAATTAGATTTTTGGCCATATGTTGAATATACAGATGAACATTTTGTCAGCGCGACCCCTCATAAACCGCTGCACAGAATTTCGTCAGACTTTGCAGAATATTTAGGACACAATGTATAGATGTGCATTTTACCAGGAAATTCCGAATCCTTTATTTTTCTGGGAATTTCGGCACTTTACAACTTAGATTTTTGGGGATATCTTGAATATAATAGTGATGAACAGTTTGTCAGCGCAACTCCTCATAAACCGCTCCACAGAATTTCATCAAACTTTGCAGATATTTAGGACACAATTTGTAGATGTGCATATTACCGGAAAATTCCGATTCTTTCATTTTTTCTGGGATTTTCAGCACTTTGAGTTTTGGGGGAGTGTAGGGTATGTGAGCTTGCTTACTTTTTCTTTCATTTTAAATATATTTCCATCAAACAGTATGGTCAATAAAGCTATTCCATTCTTTCAAAAATAAAAAGCATGAAAAATAAATATCAATTTCAGGCCGTTGAACCTCCTCAAACAGGACGAAATACATATCAGACATTGGCCGTTCTTCACTCTGGGCAAGTACTGGCCACTGCCCATGGAGGCCCCGCCTTCATTCCATGGCATAGAATTTACTTGCTCCTGTAAGTTATTTTTATGTCTTCTATATATACGACGCACAGTTGTATTTTTTTTAATTATGAAGAGATTTAATATATGATTCGTTTGAGCCATTCTATAAGTTAATTTTTATTGAGCAATTTCCCGAAGAAAAAAAAAGTCACCTCTCACACACGTTATTTTATTATGACAATTGTTCAGCTAGCTTAATTCATTGTTACCTTTAGCTTGGAAACGGCTTGTGGTAGCCCCATCCCCTATTGGGATTCCACAGTTGATCATGATATGATTGACCCTACCAGTTCAGTGATATGGAGTGACATGTTCTTTGGAAACGGCGATGGTGACGTTATGACTGGACCATTCCAAAGCTTAAGAACAATTCTTGGAGATTCAATCATACGAAATATAGGGACAGGTAAAGATATATAGAATATACCCCAAACCTCTTAGGTAGAAACTTTTTTTAGAACCAGTGAAATTAATTAATAAGCAGTAAGATGTTTGTGAAACACTAATGCCCCCTATGGCAGCGAATGTTCAAAAGTTACAGTATACATGTGTAATACACATGGTAAGTATTAAAGCCCTAGCACCAACTGTTCAAAAGTTGCCACGACTGAAGTGTGAACGCATGACGAAACGTAACCATAAATAATAACGGAGGTTGTGCCTTGTTCACAAAAACATCTTACGTTTCACGGGTGTGTTCAATTTGTTAAACTCGGCACACAACACTAAGATCGGGGTGACAATACTGGCGAGTTCGGTTTGCTTTCTCACATTTCTACTCTTATTTTCTGAACTATAGTTCAATATTTTTCATTTATACACAACACAACAAGTATTGAGGATAAAGTTTTCTTTCTGAAAGTGCAGAGATGACTGTCAATCAAACGCATCCCGAAATTCTTAGTTTCAATAATCTCCAGATAAAAAACATTTTTTTATTACCAATAAAATGTATTATAGAAACTTAAAAGTAATAATACGTATTGTAACGAAAGTTTGAGAAAATATTAACTTCAAATCTGTGTCAAAATACCTCTCAATATGTCAAACCCAATCTTTTCATTCACCATTTGACCATAGATGTGTCCTTAAAAAATATTATCTTTTACACAATACTTAAATGTAAGGAAAAAATACGTCTGTAATATTTGGAGTAATTATTTATCGGAATATTTAGTAGGATCTACACATAGCACTTAAGATAAATAAGCAATGAAAACTATGCATTAAACAATCCATTCCATTTTAACTTCAATGCTGTTTTTTAGGTGACAGCTCTCTCTTTACCAAGGAAGGTCTTGCTGCTGTGCTGAGTCGTCGAAGATACGGGGACATAGTAGAACCGAAACAAGGGGCTGAGTATGTTTTCAGCTTGGAAGGTCATCATAATGGACCACATGTGTGGGTAGGAGGGCATTTATCACTCACCCAAACTGCTGCTTATGATCCAATATTTTTCAATCATCATGCATTTATTGACCACGTTTATGAAATATTCAGACAGCAACAACTTCGATCTGGTATTAATCCTGTAATGGATTATCCAACCATGGCCCCTCCTGGACATGCTGCAAATGATTTCATTGACTTTAGGCCTTATGCTCAACCACTGAGAAATATTGAAGGTTTATCTAGATTCATAGCAAACTTGGTAAGATACGAGCCCTTACCAACCTGTCAAAATCGATGCAATCGGAGTCCCCATTTGTATTGTGACCGAGTGAGATTTGTTTGCGTGTCCCGTGCTCGCCCGACAGCAACGATGCCTATAGGAGGTGGCTTTGGAATGGCCAGTCAGCCAGGCCAAGCTCCAGCAAGCCAAGATGTTCCAACAGAATCGCGAGCCCGTGCTCAGGCCCGTGGTCCTATCCCTGGAGGTGCACGATTTCGATCTTCACCGTTCACAGATAGCCGTAATCGTCCTGATACAATCGGAAGTGCTCCAGCTTCACCTCAACTACTCGCAGCTGGTGCACAAGCAAGAGCAGGAGCAGCACGAAAACGTCGTGATGTATCTCAGACACATCAGAACAATTCATCACTTAATGGCAATTTACGAACAGTCTCTGCCCTCCAGCGATCATTTACAAATACTTTTATGATTGATGGAGTAGTGGATCTGAAACAGTGGGTCTATGTACCAGCTCGTGTGTTCTACAATAGATCTTTGAACATCGGTGGTAACGACCCTACTCTCCATCCTAACATTGCTCGAAAAGCAATGAAGAGTTCTTGTCATGGCGTTAATTCAGGAGCGTTTAAAGTGTTTGTTACATCTAACGGTTTAAACTACGTTGGAACTTACAAAGAATTCGTCATCATTGACGAAAGACAGCCATTTTCTGTAATGGATACAGCCATTGGGATAAAGAACCCGGATTATGGTGGAGGTGAGGTGTTATTTACTGCATACGACTCATGTGGACGGCCTTGTCGAGCTCTCTGTATGAAGTGGCTTCAAGGAAAAACAGTTTACAAGCCCTGTTCAGCAGTATTTAAGGTATCGGCTGCCTTGCCCAAAATGTTCTACTCTTCATACCGAGATGCACTGTCTAGTAACTGGAAAACTAGTAATTTGATTAATTCTCAAGATGTAGATTTAACTCCTCCCATCACTTTTGTTTGTGATAACAAAAAACTTTGGCCATGGGATTACTGACATTACAATTTATGATAAATATCTGCATTACATACATTTTAATTATACTCCATAACTCTATCAGCTCCCAATTCTCTATGTGATTTGAGATCGAAGTTATGTAGAGACTCTTGTCTTATCTGAACATGTTATTATTTTGTATCTTTGTAATCAATTTAAACTTTAACTTCTCTAATAAATTGGAAGAAGGTGAACAGAGTAGAAGTATATAATAGAGTGTTTGTGATTGACTTCTTTCCTCTTCTTGAGATACTCTTCAGCGCATGGAAGATCATCTTCTTTTAATCTCACTCATGATCTCAATACAGATTCAACACACACATGTAGAAAGCGCCTGATACGAATAATAAGACACATAATTCTGACTGTTAAGCAAGTTCCCAATGCTTCTTTGATCTTTAACTCCCCCAAACATTTAGACAAATACCATTTTTTCACAGATTGAGAACAAGATTGAACACTTCAACAGGGTGGCAATCAGAATACATGTAGTAGTCACACTTAGGGAGGATTAAGTAAACAACCACAATACAAGAGCAATCACACCCAGCTTTGATGGTGATAGGATCCACTCTTTAAAGCTCTTTGGATTTTTTCGGTTCTGCAAGCAGCAAACAGGTCGCAAATTGCAAAAGGTTATTTACAGATTTGTGACATTGGTAAGTACGTTCTCACGCTCCAATCAGCTTTAGAAAGAATAAACTTTACTAAACGCAAAGCAACGAAAGAGGCATGCACATGTAGTGATATTTATGATCGGGATCGAGATCCTTTTATGTATATAAATAGAATGTAAATAGTTTTTAGCAGTTACCTTCCCGACCTTGCAGAGTCCAGACGTTTAATACGGCCTGTGAGATCCGGTGACTCAGATCTTTGGTCAACTCATTATAACTCATCTATTGTTTATTTATTCTTTATTTCATTCTATATATTTAAGAAATCACTGTCTAGTTAGTATAGTATGCCAGGGCATCAACGATAGTGGGAAACATGGGATAATTTCATTGTGAAATAAAATTGTAGATTTAGATTTTCAAAATTTAGACATAGCTTTTAAATTACACGCGGACTTCCATGCCAATTTCAATAGTCCTCGGCCAGTGACGTCAAACACAAAGGCAGCTGCACGAGATTTACGTTATTTGGCCTCCTTAACGTCAGACACAGAGGCAAATGCGCAAGAGATTTGCATGCATATTAGGGCTCCTTAGCTCCTGACCTATCACCTGCCGAATTTACATTCCGGTAGAATTTTCAAAAAATCAACGCTGCTAATTTTCGGATTCCGGTAATGGTAATGGCGCCCGAGCGAGTAGGTCTCGCTTAGTGACGGCGAATGTGAGTGGTCATTATAGCGCATATCAGCGCATATTGAAGTCTTGGATAAAGTGTTTTTTGATAGAGGGCGTCCAGAAATTCAGGTCAAATATGGTTTTTGGAGATTTTTTTTTTTTGGAAACTTACTGTGAAAAACGATGTTTGTTTAGAATTCTTCAACTCGTGAGTAGTTATTACTATAAATAGATTTCCAACCGGTTGTATGAATAACACAATAGACGAATATATTGTCATGTCGAGCAGTGGTGTTACTACCCGAAATTCAAATAATAGCTCACGAAAATCAACAAATCCTAAAAAAAAAAAA